CCGCCCTTTGTGCGCACAGTTGTTTTCCGCCCGGCACCTGCCGCTGGATTCGCTGCCGGTCGCTGTGGTTCTCTGTTTCGGAGAGGATGGAAGGGGGAGGGCGAGGAGGGGAGGAGCAGCAGGCGCCCTCCCAGCCGGCCACCCTGCGGTCTGCCATCTTGCCTCCCCCTTTTATTTTGCATTATTTCCTGTGGTGTGTTTGGCGCTAAAACTGTAAACTAGACCCTCTGATAAGCAACGGGCGGGAAAGTTACTCTCCCGCGTCGCAGGGGGGCGCCAAGCAGGGATCCTGCCCCGACTCCACTTGGGAGTTCACCCTGTAACCATGTCAGCGGCTGATGCCATGTTGCATAATGGGTCCCCGAAGAGTTCGGAGGCAGGCTGCTGCAATGCCACGCAACCTCGGAGTCAGGCCGCGGCCCCAGAGCATGGCGGGACTCCCCTGAGGGAGCTCACAGTGGTGGGGGGCTCTGGGGTGGGGCCTAGGATCCGAGAGAGCCGGTATCTAGCCCGGGAATGGGCTAAGACTTCGGCAAACTCTGGAGAAGAGTCCCCCCTCTCCCATGGAGGTCCCATGGAGTGGCTGCCTGGGACGATCTGCCGAGGCCGTGGGTCACTCTTGGGCTGGCCTGTGGGCGGAGTCCTGGCGGCCATGGTGACTGGGACCTCCGCTCGGGGGCTTTATTAATTTTGAAATGGGGGTGGCGGGAGCTTGGCTCCGGTTGCGAAGAGGAGGTGTCTCTCTGCGCTGTCTCCACCCAGCCCCGCCCACCTGCTCGGCCTAGCGCACGGAGCGGGCTCACCTGGTGACTGCAAACCTGGCCAGACCCGGCCTCGCGGCCGCCCCCACCCCCAGTCCCCAGCCCCTAATTGGCTCATTTGCCGCTGTGTAAACAAGGGCGCAGCCCCTCCCCCTGGTTAGTGCCTGGCCTTTAAGAAAACGAGCCCTCCCTTCCGCCGGCGGCACTCGTTATCTGAATCTTAATGAGGCCATTAGCATCCGTACTTCTGACGGGGAAGGACCCATCGGCCACACCTCTTGGGCTCCTCTGTTCGCCGGACCCTGCGCCCACTGCAGTGCTTCCGACCGGATCCACCTGCCTGGGGCTGTCGGCTCCAGCTTCTGCGACCCCGCTCAGGAGCCCCTGCCTCCCGGGGTAGAGGCAGGGCTGGGGGTGTCTGCTCAGGTGCAGACGACAGAGGTGGTGGAGCTGGACCCTCCGGCTGTGACGGTGCTGGCAGGAAGAAGTGCGCTGACACACGCCCAGCTGTCTCTAGCACCTTAGCCCTGTGTCCTGTGCCCCACCCCACGTGTCAGGCTAACGTGCTGCCCTCTGTTCCCTCCCCCAGGGAACGGCAGGAACAGCTGATGGGATATCGGAAG